TCTTTGTGCCTTAGACGAAATTTGAAGTCCTTGGACTCTTGAGGTCCGAAGATGAATTTTCTTCCTGTAGTCCTCGGACTCTTGAGGTCCGAAGATGAATTTTCTTCCTCGACAACTTGTTGTGCCTTAGAGGAATTTTTTATGCCATCAGACTCTCGAAGTCTGAGGCTTTGTTGTTCCTCGGAATTGTGTCTTTAGAGGAATTTTGATGCCGTCGGACTCTTGAGGTCTGCGATTTTGTTGTTCCTTGACATTGTGCCTTAGAGGAATTTTTGATGCCTCAGACTCTTGAGGTCCGAGGCTTTGTTGTTCCTCAGCATTGTGCCTTAGAGGAATTTTTGATGCTATCGGACTCTTAAGGTCCGAGGCTTTGTGTGGTTAGGGTTGCCCTCACATGGCTACATAGTTGGGCTATTTGCCACTTTTTTCTTTTTAGACCGAGTTGCTCTATGTGCCTTTTACTTCCACGCATGCGCATCTGCCTCAATTATGCTTGGTACTTCCAGAGTTCGATGATGCTTTGGTGATAGGTCTAGGCAATCAATGAGACTTTATATGTTGAACTGATCAGTAGTCAAGTAGTTATAGATGACATCGCCTAAACAAGCTCTGCCACTCTGCAATGACAAATGAGTTATGGACCATAGATAGTGGTACCAAAGGCAAGCATGGGAAATTTATATTATAAGAATAAATTAACCTTATGATTGCATGTATATATATTTGTTCAAACAATATAATAAATAATTGTCTAGAGCTTAGAATATCAGTTGAAATATATTTGGCACCTCACACGTATATATCATTGACAACCGTGTCTAAGTACCATGTTAACTCTTTGTGTGCATTCTAATATATGTTATGCAGTGCTTACAAAAACACTTTTCTGCTATTATCAATTAATTGATCAATTGCAAATTTACATGTACCTCCATAACTGAAATGAAGAGATGAGTGTAAAAGAATGCATCCGTGCATATAATTTCAATTTACATCATTTATGCTTATAGCAAAATAGAATTTATCTATTCTTTTGGAGATAAATCGATAGGGGGAGTAGTTGTAGTGACACTATGACAACTCCTTGTGCTGCTAATACCGATATATGGCATAATAAAAATTGTACTCCTTCACTATTATTTATGAGCAACATAATAATGGACTTCTAGAGCAAGGTTATAGTCTTCCTGCTAGCTTCATTAGAATTCATCCCTAGAATTTTTCTAATGACATTCTATATTAGGAGAGAAAGAATGCAGAACCAATTGAATTATGCCATTCAATTAAATTAAAATCTTAATTAAACTAGCTAAATTAATAAACACTGTCCAGAATAACTAATATCCCATAAATGAATAGTTAGTTTCCTATGACAAAAATCAATTCCTGCAACTGCTTTATTTTTATACCAACATCCTCTTGCACTCAAGGAAGTTGTGATTTGTAAGGGCTCATGCCAAACTAGATCTCATTTACTTACCAATAACTTTGTATTAGCAATATACGAAGTTTAATTGCATCAGGTGTATTTATATATATATAATATTGATATATATATATATAATATGTATTTAATTTTTAACAAAGATTTCTATCACAAAAAGCTTAGCCCTAACTATAAAAATCAAGTTAGGAAACTTATCTGATTAGATAGATTCGTGTCTGAAAAGCCCTGGGAAGATTCGTGTCTGAAAAGGCCTAGGATGTTTGAAATACCTGGCCAATAAGTTTGCTGAAGTTTGTAGTGTTGAGCGTCGATGCGGCATCTTTGATGGATCAAAGCATTCAAAGAAAAGAAAGAATTTTGTGTAAACCAGAGCAATCCTCAATAGCAAAGAAGCGGTAAGAACTGGAGTTTAAAAATAAATATTTAAAAAGAAATGCTCCAAAGGCACTTGCATATTTGCTCGCGAATCTAGAATTGCAATTTACTATAACTTGATTTGCAGAGAATTCATACCATACTATAGACAACCTTTATTGCAAGATGGTTAAACCATAGTAATTTCATGCAATTAATTGACACAATTCACGTAATTAGCCATGGTTAACATTCACAGACAAATACATGCATTTTTTTTCAAGGTAATTGTTGTATTGGCTTGTTCTTTATATAGTACGTTTTTAGAATAACAGTTCAAAGAAATACAAGTATCATTCAATCACCTGAAAAGAACAAAAATTTAGGAGACTAATGAAGCTTGAGAGTATTTATATATATATATATATATATATATATATATATATATTGATTAATATCTTCAATGTTACAGGAAGTAAGATAACCCTTCTTTCTCTCTCTCAGAGCTAGAGAAAGGAGATATATATAGGTGGCCAGAGTGAAGACAAATATATTTTTTAAAGCTAGACATGATATTCTTGATTTACATACCCTTAAATGTCATCTTTTAAGTTAATTAGAATTCCTATAGGTACTGTTTATTTTCACAATAACAATGATACTCATTTTGTTGCTTTTCTTAATTTAATCGTGACCACTGATCGCATGTTCTCTGGCCTGATTGCAATACCTATGTGTACCGTCAGATTCTCTGTAGTGTATATCCTCATTAAAGATATCAATTATTTCATCTTGATTTCTACTAGAAATTAGGTTCTAATTCAATAATAGAAATTGAGAAAGAATTATTAATTGAACAGAGGAATTCTGCAATCAAACCTTGGTTGAAGATTGAATCATTAGAATACCTTTAAGAATTTTCTAGAAATCTCTGAGTATTTGCTGCAAAATTGTCCTCCATTGGATTATTGCCGCTAGATCATCCAAGCTACAGATTGATTAGAAATCATCATCACTTTGTACTCTGAAAAGGCTGGGTTGAAACCCCTTTGGATCTGACACCTTCCTGGACCTCTGGAACTCCTCCTTTGGCTTTATTCCCTCGTGAATCAACAGTGTTGCTTTGCCGCCATTGTCGACAATGAGGTCAGGTTCACCATCAAGCCCCAATCGAGAGCACCCTCGGTATACCACTAGTACTCCTGGATGGTCTCGCCCTTTCAGGCGAACACGGCGGTGCTGTCGCGAGTGATGGTGGAGGCGGCTTGCTAAGGATGTTGCAGGAGCAGGAACAGACCTCGACACTTAAGGCGGTTAGGGTTTCACTGAGGACAACTGTTTGGATGGTCATGTGGAGCGAGTCGATGATCTGAGCTCCGGGTTGGACCAAACTCGATCCAGCAAGGCATGAGGCGCTGTATTTTCCTTCTTTATTATTATTTTATATATATATAAATATTTTAGGAGCAGAAGTAACCAACTATATTCATGCGGAATAGAAAGTGGATCACGCACGTCCAGTTACTGGACGATTGTAATTTTGGTGATTGGAAAGTCACGTTACTAGATAATTGTAATTTTTGGTGGTTGGAAAGTCATGTTACTGGACAATTGTAATTTTTGGTGGCTGGAAAAGCATAGGTTCAAATCCCATATCACGTTGATGGTGTAACGTGATCTAAGCCATCTGAGCCAGATAACTAATCACTCGTAGGAATATATTTTTATACGATTCCCACAGACGGTGCCAAAGTGTAGGTGCAAAAATTTGACAAGTCAACGAATTCTATACAATTACTACACCCAAAATAATAATAGAGAAAGAATAACGAACTAGAGATATTGTATAGAAATAAGGGGGTATTTTGATGATATGACCGAACCTAGGATTACCTAGATTGCCTACGTATTCCGCATGGAGCGTGGGAATTAGGTTGGAACGTAGTTCTGGCAATGAGAATTGGATCTCTATTTTTGGGGGCTTTGCCTTTTTTCTGTGTCCCCCCTATTGAGGGTCCTGAGCCCTTTTTATATAGGAAAATGGATTCCTTTTAGGATTTGCATTGCTTATCCCTTAAGAATCTAAATTACATCATACTTTCCTTATAACAAGGATTTACATTATTTGGTTTCCATAAATTATAATTCTACTTCTAATAGAACTATTACTAAAATGGATTTAGTAATATATTCGTACCTAGGCTCAGGATTCCATCATCTCGGGCCTTCTTAACGAGTTCAGCCCATTATGATTAGTTGACCTAGCCCAGGCTTCTTGTAGAAGCCCAATATAAAAGTTGAATAGTCTCAGTATTTATGGTGGTCTCCTTATGTGCTGATGTGTCTTGTCTTAATTAGAAGGGGTGATTTTTGCCCCCACAATTACAGGTCACACCGAACCTCAATCCTATGCTAAAGCTATCCTTGATCCACATTAGTAACAAGCCATGAATGCAGAATTAGAAGCATTATAGTAAAATAACACTTTGGAGTTTGGTTCCTTTGCCTGTTGGTAAAAAACCAATCTGCTGCAAACAGGTATACAAAATCAAATACAGATCTGATGGCACCATTAAGTGCTATAAGGCTCGTCTTGTTGCTAAGGGATATACTCAAGTTGAGAAATTGATTATTTGGAAACTTTTTCTACTACAACCAAACTCACTACACTCCGTTGTCTTCTTACTATTGCTACTGCCAGACATTGGTTCATCCATCAATTAGACGTCCAAAATGCTTTTCTTTATGGAGACTTACATGAAATAGTGTACATGGAGCCTCTACCTGGTCTTCGCCGATAAGGGGAGAACATTGTATGTCAGCTCAACAAGTCCCTCTATGGACTCAAACAAGCATCAAGAAACTGGTTCTCCACTTTTTCAGATACCATTCAAAAAGCTGGTTATCAACAATTAAAGGCTAATTACTCTCTTTTCACCAAGGCTCAAGGTACTTTATTTACTACAGTCCTTATCTATGTTGATGACATACTTCTCATAGGAAATGATCTTCATGAAATGGAACATCTCAAAAAATTTCTTCTCAAACGCTTCCATATCAAAGATCTTGGAGATTTGAAATATTTTTGGGCATTGAATTCTCCCGTTCCAAGAAAGGTATTTTCATGTCCCAAAGAAAATACGCACTAGATATTTTGCAAAACTTAGGACTTCTAGGCACATGCCTAGACAAGTTTCCAATGGAACAAAATTTGAAACTCATTCCCACAGATGGAGCATTACTGAATGATCCAACTAAATATAGAAGACTGGTTAGGAGATTGATTTATCTTACCATCACAAGGCCTGACATAGTCTATCCTGTTCAAACGTTGAGTCAATTCATGCATGAGCCTCGAAAACCTCATTGGGATGCTGCAATACGAATTCTCAAATACATCAAAGGTACTACTGGTCAAGGTTTACTATTTTCGTCCACCAACAGCCTTACCTTGAAACTTTTTGTGATTGAGATTGGGGAGGATGTCGTGCCACAAGGAGGTCAGTTACAAGATATTGTGTTTTCCTTGGAAATTCTCTCATCTCATGGAAATCCAAGAAACAAGCAAATGTTTCTAGATCATCAGCAGAAGCCGAATATCGAGCTATGGCTAACATATGTTTGGAGCTAACTTGGCTACGCTATGTATTACAGGATTTAAAAGTCCTACAGGTGGCTCCTACACCATTGTTATGTGACAATCAGGTAGCTTTGTACATTTTAGCAAATCCTGTTTTTCACGAGCGTACAAAACACATTGAAATAGATTGTCACATAGTTTGAGAAAAACTGCAAGCCGAAATGATTAGTCCTTCATATGTTCCTACGCACTTCCAGTTGGCAAAAGTTTTTACAAAAGCCTTAGGGAAGGATCAATTTGTGACACTACGCAATAAGTTGGGACTTCATGATATTCACTCTCCAACTTGAGAGAGAGTATTAAGAAATATTATTGTAATATATTTACTCTATTGTAATATATTTACTTTCCTTAGTTAGAGTATATCAAATCTCACTAAAAGTGGGATTACGGCTTGTAAGCCTTAGAAATATGATTAATTAAAATGCTCTATTGTATATATATATTGTGCTCTATTATTGATAAAATATACGAAAAGTTATTCAGCCAAATCTCCATTGTTCATCATTTAATCCTAAAAGGTCTATAGTTTATTTTCTTTAGATATCGAGGTACCTTTGAGCCTCTTATGTTAGCTTGTGCTTTTACAACTTCAAATGAGTCTTGCCACTTTAATCCGAGTTATTTTGAGCCACTTTACTCTTCGAAGAAGAGTTTTTCTCAGCCAAGGAGAATTGATGGGGAACAGGATATGATTCGAATACATGAGTTGCACAAGCTTCAACATTACTTATTACTTTTGGAGAAGAGGGAAAAAGAAATAAAATTGGGGATTTTAGTGATTTAGGGTTTTATTTATGCTTATTGTTATTTTGATAATGTTTGAATTTAAGGGTTACTTTGGTATTTTAATGTTTAGGGTTTGCTTAATAATTTGCCTATTTAAAAGCTCCTTTGTAATTTGAGAACTTAATTTTGAAGAATATTGATTATCATTTTCTTTGAGTCTATCTCTGTGTTCTATTGTATTGAACCAAGAGGGGGGTGAATTGGTTAAAACTTTGCTTTTAAAAACTTTCTCACACACTAAGCAAGCATTCAAAGAACAGATAACACAAGATTTACAAGGAAACCCTCTAAACTAGGGAAAACCTTGGTTCTTGGCCTCAGCCAATAAGCAATCCACTAGTTGTATGTATCTTGTTACACAATCAGCTATCTCACACTTGGTACCCACCCATGCACCAAAATAGACACTAGTTTTCACAACCAATACACACACACTAGTACACCACAGTGCATCTAAGTACTCCCCCTGTCCTAAGCAACCATGCTTGGACCAAATAAGCTCTCATAGCTCAATCAACAATAGGGTGAGGATGTAAAGCCTCACTACCATTTATAATAAGTGTCAACACACTGAAGTCTTTGCAACAATTAGAATAGGCTAGATAACACAGAATTCCAAGTCACCGCCTCAGAACTGTAATCTGCTGCATTTACAGTTTGAGGAGTAAAATAAAAAATTCCTTTCGAGATCAATTCACCTGTGCCTCATACAGTCTTCTTTCACTGTTGTACTCATGTTCATAGTTTTGCATAATCAAACACAGCATGAGTTTATCACAAAGTTTAGTCAAAGTTCTTAGTTCAGAATATAACAGCTTCAGCACAAAAAGCTTCGGCACAAGATAGCTTTGACACAGAAAGCTTCAGCACAGAAAGCTTTGGCATAGAAAGCTTTAGCACAGAAATTTTTGGCACAGAAAGCTTCAGCACAGAAAGCTTCGGCACAGAATAGCCTCAGCATAGATTAGCTTTAATACAAAACAATTTCGGCACAGAATACTCAAAATTAAAGCATACCATATTTTTGTCACAAACTCAACTTTAACAATCTTGATTCATCAAAATATACTAGCTAGTAGCATAGATCATCATGAAATAGCTAAGTATCATCAAATAGTACTTGAATCCAAGATTTCTTAAGAAAAACAAGCTTAACTAGTGACCACACTGTCCAAGTTCATTTTCAGCATATTCTCAACACAAGCATAGTCTCAACAATTGTAAAAAAGATGAATTATACCTATGTCAACCTTCAAAATCAACCATAGCAGCTTGAAACACCAAGTCACTACTCACTGCAACCCTTGCATCAATAACTTTGACAGCAGCCTCATCTCAGCAATCAGTACACACCTCAGAGTGGATTCAATGAGTTTTTCTTGCATAGATCATCATCAAATAACAACGAAAAACTTGTTTGACATAGTATACTCGAGGCTTCTTAGCAGTAGCTCAATGTACAATGTTAATTCAAGAAGCTTAAACCCTAAGGAGCCTTATAACATCATATTTATAGAGACAGTGAATTACACAAGGCCTCACAAACAACGGATATACACCTGTCACCTTTAGCCAATGATTGAGAGAGCATATTTTAGATATTTTCAGAGTAATAGACCAATACAGGCCTGCCACCTCAGCTAATTTTGTCATTATTCTACCAGCTATAGTGGGTTATAAGTTTGTGTACTGAATTCCATTTTTATCCAAACTTAGCCTCTAAGGAATGAAATATTCTTGTATATACCAGCTCTCTAGGACCACTGAGACGTGTCGCATTCTTCTCTAGGACCACTAAGACGTGTCACATTCTTGAGCATAGCTAGAAAAGGACATACTGCCCACAAAACAGATTTAACTTTACTCAGCACTGTGACAGAGCCGAGCCTATATTCCTCACAATGCAGGTTCAATTTCTGTGCAACACAGGTACTTAAGCATACGTATATATCTGAAATACAACTGAGAAGAGATTATGGTACCCCTATGAGCACCTGTAGCTAAAACTGAAGTGCTGAACCTTCATTGTTCGATGCTGAAGTATTGCAATGCTTTTTAACTTTAAAAGGCAAACATTCCTTAAGGTAACTTAAGACCAACAATCTCCCCCTTTTGCCTTTAATGACAAAAACCAAATAACCTTAAAATAACTTTTAAGGATAAAGATTCAGTAAGTAGAATAACCCCAATGCAAAAGGAATAGCTTGAAGCTATCTTTATTTCAGTCCATTTCTCCCCCTTTTTGACATTAAAGGTAAAAATGTGAGTAGGACCAACAATATAGGTTCAGGAGGGAGGAGGAACAACCCTGAGAAGAGCTCAAAGGGTTGAGAATCTCTAAGGAAGAAGAGGTTTGGTCATGATGTCTGCAAGTTGATCTTCAGTAGGCAAATAAGTAATATCAATAAGACCTTTTTAAACTTTATCTCTGAGAAAGTGATACCTGATGTCAATGTGTTTGCTCTTCCAATGCAGTATGGGATTCTTACTGATAGCAATAGCACTTTGATTATCACAGAAAAGCTTGGGAGGTCCTGAGAATTGAATGCCAAGATCTGCGAGAGTAGTTTTCATCCAAAGTAATTGTGAACCAGTTTGTGAGGCAGTTATATACTCAGCTTCAGAGGTTGAAAGAGAGACAGTGTTATGCTTTTTACTCTGCCACCAGACCACATTTGAGCCCAGAGTGTAGCAACAACCAGAGGTACTTTTTCTATCAGGTAAAGATTCACCCTAATCAGTATCTAAAAAGGCTGCAATAGACATTGAGGGTGAGTAAATGTAAAATAGACCATATGAGATGGTGCCCTTGACATATCTGAGGATTCTTTTGGTAGCTTGAAGATGAGAAACCTTTAGATTACTTTGAAATCTGGCCACTAAACCCACTGAGTACATTATATCAGGCCTTAAAGCAGTAAGATACAATAAACTACCAATGATTAACCTGTAAAGTGTTGAAGGAATAGCTTCAGTGGTGAACTCCAGTGAGAGTTTGATATTAGGACATAGTGGTGTTGAGACAACCTTACAATCATCCATTTTGAACTTTATAAGTAGCTCTAAGGCATACTTTTGCTGAGAGATGAAGATTCCGGAGGATTTTTATGTAATTTGCAGGCCTAGAAAGTATCTAGGAGTCCCCAAGAATGACATTTCAAACCTTGTCTTCATGAGATTAGCAAATTCTGAAGCTAATGAGGTGTCCGAGCCACAAAACATGATATCATTGACATAGATTTGCAGAATTAGACTGTTCTTAATGAGTTTTTACATAGAGAGTATTATCAACCTTGCCCCTATGAAATCCTTATTCAACTAAGAACTGATGTAACTTCTCATACTGATGTGTGTCAATAATAATTAACCACTCACAATAGAACGAATCCTTATAGGATAGGGCTATATTGAGGGTGTCGAACCTCAACGATTGTGGTGGTTTATTGAGTCTTCAATTAGTACTATTTTAATTTAGAAAGAGATTTGACTTGTTGTGTTGTGCAATAATATAAACAAAAAATTAATAAAGTAAAAGAAACTAAACGGAATAAAAGGATTAAGATAAAGAGAAGAAACACTTAGGGATTGACTTCACCACGATCCTCATACTATGGTTAACTGTTCAACCTAGGGATTTCAATAATTATGTATCATATGGAATTAAACTCAATAACATTTATTTAATTTCGATTTAAAGAAAGATGTTCCATGAATTTTAATTAACTATAATCTATCTTCGGTTGCCACGAATTATCTGCCTATCTACTTCTAACTAATTTTACAGTATAACTCGTCTTCCCTAGGCATAGACTATGAAAACATCCATTCATGAAAAACGTTTAAACACCATTACATGGTCTCCATTCTTATGTCCGACAAGGCTTCGCCAGATATCGTCCATAAGAATGGGTTAAATATAATTTAAGAATAATTAAATCTAAGACAAGGTATTAATCATTCAAAAACTATTAATCATTAAAACCAATTAAATTAAGCAATTGCCCAAAATCATGCAATCAAAATACATATTATATTAAATTCCTAAAGTACAGAATAATCAAACCAGAGTAATCGAATTCGGGCTACATCAATGCCCTAAGATAGGAATTAACTACTCATGACGACGCAAAATTTCATCTGTGTTGTTGTGGTCTTCATCGCCATGGACCGCCAAAACTCCTTTTGGATCTTCTTCTTCAAAA